TAACTACTGTGCTGTCCATGGCAGGTTCCCATTATTGAAGCACAATTTGGTAGAACCAAGAATTGAGGGCTACAGACTACTACAGGATGCTGCTAAAACAGTCTAACATTCTTGTACAGAACACTCAAGTGTCTAACATATCAAAAGGTATCTGAGCTTAAAAGTGCTGGAGAACTTCTGCACTCTGACAGCATCTGTGAAGAGAAAAACAGAGATAACATTGAGTTTAATATGATTCTTCCCCAGAACTGAGGAAACCGGTAGATTATGGTTTTAATGCTATTGACTGGAGGGGGAGGAAGTTAGAACAGATAGTGAGGCTACACAGCTAAAGACAAAGTGAGTTCCATGTTGCAGAGGAGAGATAGAAATTAAAATCAGTTGTCAATAGTAGGTGTTAAAAGAATAGATCAGTTCTATAGAGAGTAAACCCATGCAGACAAGACCTGGTTGAAGGGTGTGGTGGTGATGGGGTGAAGCACAGTGAGTTCAACAACATCATGTTATGATCAATGTTGAAGACTAAATGCTACAAAGTGCCTCAGTGGAAAATGAGGTGCTGCTCTCCCAGCTTGTGTTGGGTTCTGCTAGAACACCACAGCAAGCCTCCTACCGAATTAACAGGTCCACAGAGGATGCCATATCCCTGGCCCTGCACTCATCCCTGGAATATCTGGGCATTAAAAGACACCTGCTTGTTGACTACAGCTCTGCCTTCAACACCATTATCCCCTCCAGACTGATCTCAAAACTCCATGACCTTGGTCTCAGCTCTGCCCTCCGCAACTGGATCCTCAGTTTTCTGATCCACAGGCCACAATCAGTGAGAATAGGTAACTGCACCTCCTCCACAATAATACTCAAGACTGGAGTCCTCCAAGGATGTGTCTTCAGCCCCCTACTGTACTCCCTGTACACCTATGACTCTGTTGCCAAATTCTGAACGAACACCATCTACAAGTTTGCTGACGACACCACCGTAGTGGGACAGATATCTAACAATGACGAGTCAAACTACAGAAGGGGGATAGAGGTTTGGTGACGTGGTGCAATGAAAACAATCTGTCTCTCAATGTCAGCAAAACTAAAGAATTAATCATTGACTTCAGGAAAAA